GACACAGGGGATGCCCGGGCAGAGGACCCAAGATGGAGACTTGACATATAAAATGGAAACTTCACATGACTTTGGTTCACTTACAAACACAGGCCTAAACCATACAATATCCATCTGAAACAATAAAAATAAATACAAAAATGATAATAATACAATATACAACGGTAAAAATCAATACAAACCTAATAATACTACAATAAGAAAAAGTGGATATCCAAAACCAAAAACTTGCTACCAAAATAAAAATGTTTAAAGCTTATCCTACATATTAGCTTACTTATACTTATCTATAGGGAATAGAGAGGGAGAGAAAAAGTCAGAAATGGTTGGGGAAGGGGAGTGAATGCAATAAAAAACAAGAAAAATAAAGAAAAACTGGGGGTTTTGATACAAGAAGGTGCGGTTAGGCTTACTGACTGCTTCCTAACATTGGCGGCCCATGTTCATTTTGGAATTGATAATGACTCCAGGATCTCTTTCTGCCACTCTGCTTTCAAGAAGGGAGTTCCCCGGCCTATAGTTTTGCTGCTGGTTCTTACTGCCCAAGTGTAGTACCCTGCACTTGTCAGTATTGAATCCCATCCTATTCTCATTCACCTACCCCTGTAACCTGTCCAGATCCAGCTGTATCCTGTCCCTCCCTTCTAGCTGCCCCACATGCCCCAGCTCCAGCCCTTTAAGAAAAAAACAAACAAACCCCCCCCAGACTCATGAGCTCCTGCAGTGGCTGTGGGGTTTCAGGGGACTTGTGGAAGAGCCCCCACATAGCACGGGGAAGCAGGGGGCAGTGGGGATTGCCAGAAGTGGGTTGTCATGGGGATTGCCCCCTGCCAGGCAGGAACTGGTGAGTCCAGGATTTCTTGGGGATATTTTTCCTTAAAGGGCCAGAGCTGGGGCAGGCAGGCAGGGGATGGGTCTGGGTGATTTGGAGATTAGGCAGCAGCTGAATCTCCAAATCAGATCTGGCTGAATTGATTCGGGACAGTGATTTGAATCATTGAATTGAATCACTGTTCCCCGAACTGGCCAAATTCGATTCTGAAGCTAATACTAGCCACTTCGCACAGGCCTATTAAATATCATTCTTAAGCTATTAACTCTCACACATACAATTAAGTATGTCTCTTTGCATGGATAGTGCCTTAATGTATTTAGTTGTTGCTAGTAAAATGTTTTTATTCTCCTTTTATTTTTCAGTTGTTAAGCTGCAGAGTAAACAATTTTGGGTACGTGGTGAATATGTATGCTAAGAAATCAATCCTGCAGTGGGATTTGATAGCCTGGACCTCTTTGTGTGGGCAGCAAGCTAAGGAATTCAGGCCACATAACATTATAAACTGAATCCAAATAAATTGGAAACCCCCCCCCCAAAATTTGTCTTGAATTTGGTCTGACCCAATGCCTATTGAAGTCAAGATTTTTGGCTAGGGATGTCAGATGGCAAGTATTTGCTAAAATCAGTGGATGAATTTTATTTAAATCTTGTCCTGTCAAACACAAAAGTTATTCTATTGTTGCCCTGTGGGATCAGGCCAACTCTCAGGATGTCAATATTGCACAGTTAGACAGGAGGGTGTGACACAATCGCACATATACAAACACACAAATCAATTAGGTGCGCATGCGCGTGCGCACACACACACACACACACAACCAGCTCATGCACATACACATCCAAACCAGCCTAGGCACAGGAATACTTATCCCCTATTCAACCATATACACTATACGCCCCAAAAGTTAGACAAAAATCAATTGTCCATACCCGCACACTCAGTACACATACACAGATCGCTAATTCATAAATCATGGACACAATGGCATATATATACATACACACACGCACTCTTCAGTTCACACTGGTGAGAGAGAAAGGGTTAAAGTGTAGGGAGTGAAAGTTGCCAGAACCAGAATTAGAACTGGAGGACTAGAGAGAAGCTGACTGAGGAACTGAGGCTTGGGTTTACTTTAGATCAAGTAGCCCCAGGGTTAACTTGAGGTCACTAGTGAATGGGAGGGGAATAAAAAAAAAAGCCTGGTGGCAAGGAGGAGACAGCCAGAAAAGAGAGAGACAGAAACCTGGGAGCTTGGGGCTGGAAACTGAGGCAGACAGCTGAGATATTGGGGGGTACAGATAAGTGGTGGCAAGGAGGAGACAGCCAGGAAAGAAACTGAGGCCGAAACCTGGTTGCTCAAGGGAAAAGGAAAAGGCAGTGGGGATAAGACAGTGGCGAAGAAACAGGAGGTTTGGGGGCAGAGAGGAGATCAGGACAGGTGTTGGAGGTGGCAGTGAGCCAGAAGCAGGAGACGGAGAAATGAGACAGAACCTGGAGGGACAAGGAGCAGAGATTGGAGCAGGGCTGTATCATAGTAAAGTAAAACCCAATTCAGGGGTCAAAATAACAGGTTTATTAAACAGACAACACGGTACACAACCCCATGAAGTTATTGGTTCACACGCGCGTGCGCACACACACACACACATGCACTCACAAACACTCACAATGGCAGCAGGAGAAATAGACTCAGTGGAAGGGTTGGAGTCCAGGTATGAAAGAGAAGCAGAGTCCAAGTCCTTGGTTGAAGAGAGGGTGGGGAGTGATAGCTACCTATCCGGCAGGGCCTCTGGGTGGATAGGAGATGTGGCATGGTGCTGGTCCATGTGGAGAGGGCATCCCAAGGAGTCAGTCTTCACTACCCCTTTTTATGGGGCAGACTACCTCTGATCTCCTGTGGGGAGGGCCTGTCCAGGCAACGTCAGTCCTGTTCCAGAGGGTTCCTTCCAGGTGTTCTTACTGAGCATGTGCAGCTTTTGCACAATGGTGGGTTGCCTCATCTTTTGTTTCTTGAGTGCTGAGGGTGGTTCCAAGGGCTGGGTCGTTGGTCCAGGTATTGGTGTTGATGGTTTGGTCATTCAGAGGGAGCTATTTTTAGATCTACTGCCATTGTCTCTCAAGCACCCTCATTCATCCCCATTCATTCAAGAACCAAGTTACATAGGAGGGGTAGGTGTGAGTCAGGTTACACAACCAAGCATGGGGATAAGAGGGAGGCTTGACATTACAAGATGGAAACTTAACATGACTTACGCTGTCTTACATATGTAGGCCTAAAACAGTAATCGCACAATATAAAAGCAGTAAAAAAAAAAATCAATACAAACTTTATGATTATCATGTATAAAACAGTGGATATCTGTATCAAAATAGCAAGGCACTTATTTGCAAAGAGGGGAGAGAAAAATAAAATTTACTACCTAAAATAAAATGTTAAAGCTTATCCTACATCTTAGCTTACTTATCTATAGGGAATAGACAGGGAGAGAAAAAGTCAGAAACAGTCGGGGAAGGGGGGAATGCATTTTAAACGAAAAAAAGAAAAACTGGGGGTTTTGCTACACTATTAGCACTCAATTTGGATCTATTTTCTGTATCATGTGAAGGCTAATGACATAAGAAAGTCTATTTTTCACACTTGCCCGTGCTAAAAGTTCATATAAAAATGCTGGAGCTAGAACACTATAGAAAAGTACTAGTCTGGGGAGTGAACTAAATTCTGCTTATCAGTTTAAAGGATCTTTTTCTTTTTCCCTGATGCACTCAATATATTTTATATTCACTAATAAAAAGCACAAATAAGGATATGTATTACATTAGGGACCTTAGTGCAATCAATAATTGTGTTTACGTCATGTATTATTTTAATATGTGTACTTCCTAGAGTGTGATCACAATGACTCATTTTTCCATGTAGATTTAGAACCTAGAAAATATACTCTGAGTGGAATAATTCCTTAACCATTAGTTATAAGCTTATATGAAATCTAATTTAAGAGAACTAATTTGTAGCAGAATGATACACTCGTTTAATAATTTAAACAAGAAGTTCAAGAACAATTAATGCAAATTAGGAAAATTGGACGTCAGACTCATTTATTATTCTCCTTGCTCTATTAATTTATTATTAGATGGCATAATGGGTGATCTCATTGGTATAATTACCATAAAAATCTACAGTTTATCTAATCAAATATATTTTTGGTTCTCCCAGCAAGGTAGAAAACATTTGGTTATTTTTGCAGTTATGAAAATACATTAAGTAGAAGTTCTTGTATATAAATGAGCATAACCATTACACTAGAATGCCTTTTTGTAAAATGGAATATCCTTCTTTCCTGAAGTCTACTTTTTAAGGAAAAATGGTGAGGAGAGGAGAATCAGTTTAGTTTGCTAACAAATCATTTTTATTCAGCAGCCTGTCCCTATTCAAGAAAGAATTTAAATATAGGTTTATCTCCACTGATTTCAATGGTATTTATTTTACACTTGTTTTAAAATGCTTTGCTGAAGTAGGAACATAATAAAGTGCATGTATGCATATGTGTCTACACACATAGGTAAACAATATCTTCCTATAACAACCCTAAGATTTAGTACTACTTTTTGAAGTAGGTAGATTGTAGTATTAGTCATTTCCATTCATATGCTACAATTCTCATAGGGATACCAAGAAATGCACAAATACTGTTTCTTGTCATTAAGATTATAAAATATCCATATACAATGATTATAGCATTTGGTATAATTAATAGAGATAAGCATAGCACACTATATAATATGATGTATTGATAGACAGATGGTGATTTATTTTACAGCTCCGTAAAGCTATAATAGACCATGTTTCAGACTCCTTCTTGGATACCACTGTTCCACTTCTAGTTCTTATTGAAGCTGCTAAAAATGGAAGGGAAAAAGAAATGAAGGACTGTGCTGCTATTTTTCGAGAACACACCAGCAGGCTTGTAGAGGTAGGTTTGATGGATCTGCATTGGATTGAATATATTTGATAAGTGACCACCTACTGTACTTTTTCTTTTGCTGTCTGATTTGATAACATAATTATGTATGGTATTTCAGCAAAGAATGAACAGCTAAGTTCAATAATAACACAGGCTTTCTACTTTTACGTCATGTATACCTCTAAGTTGTAAGTTTATGTGGCCTTGTCCACACATGACATGGAAACCAGTGGGCTTTTTCTTCTGTATTGAAATCAAAGAGAGTTTTTTCACAGAGGGATCCTTTGTCATTAGTTCAAATGCATGACCATAACAAGCAATCCTTTGCAATCATCTGAAACTATACAAGTGGAAACACCATGTTAATGTTAGTTATTGTTTCTTTTCTCATTCTTAATATTTCTGGCATTCAGGGATATATGAAGTATACAACTAAACATTCTGATTTAGAGAATGGCATACAGTTTAACTCTTTGAGCCTGTAAGTTGACACAGGTGAGTGGAAGCCTATAGCTATATGGAGCCCAAAGTTCAAGGAAGGGTAAGGAGCTGTCTACATGGATTGTATGTGTTCAAAATAAATTCATTTTTATCACAAAATAATTTTATTTGTAAAGAACAAAATATTATCTAATATTTAGAAATGTGCAGAACAGAAATAAATGAGTCTTGACACTCAATCCTGCAAGTATTTATTTATGTAAGTGAATAAACTTAAATATATACCTGTTAACTTAAATGAGATCCTTCAAATGGTTTAAATTACTTGTGCGTGTGTGCACTAGTGCTTTAAACATTAAATAGTGGAAATGCCAAAGTTGTCATCTCACAAGTATATTACTTCAAATGCATGCAGGGTCTGTGCTAGTGATGTTTTACTTTTCTATGCAATGTTAGTAATGCAAAAAGGAGAGGATTTTTCTTTATAGCTGGAAAGTGTTTAGTAAGATGTTCTGTCTCAAAACCAGAAAAGTTCATCTTGATTGATTTGCAGATAATGAAAGATAAGTAGATACACAGGTGGCTAAAGTGGAAGGAGAATATTGTATTTATGTGTTTTTTCACATGCTCCTGTAATTAGAAAATAAGCGTTACATTTATGATTCTCTAGTTCAAAAGAATGTCTTATTTACAGTGTGCTACAAAATAAAATATAAACTAAGCATTTTCCTAAATCTCCAAAAAATGACTATCCATTTCTGGGTACCTAATCTGAGACTACCGGGCAATGCCTGATTTTTTTGGAAGCAGCAGAACATTTAGCCTTTGAAAATCAGGCCTTTTATACAGGGAGTATAACTGAAAATTAAGCTGAACCAAACACCTAGTTTGAATCAGTATTTGGACTTGAACTTGAACCAGAGCTGAACTATAATATGTATTATCCTACTAAACTTGATAAAGGTTCAGCCTTTATTCAAACTATATACCTGGGATGAAAAGGGGGAGTGCAGATGGTGTGGTGCATCATCTCATATAACACAACATATATTATTTTCCAGGTAAAAAGAAACTAGAAACTTTCCTAATATACTAGGGGTCTAGGGGTATATTATTCAGTTTAAGATTGAAGCAAAACAAATATAACTTTATTGGAATGAATTCACAACAGTCTGCAGAGCTGTGGAATAGGAGGAGTAGCAACACGTAGGGGGTGCATGGGGATGCACATGCACCCCCTTAGAGTGCTGGTGCATCCCCTGTCAGGCCACACTCCTCACTCAGGTGACGGGCCAGGGAGTGCGAGTACCGGATGTAGCCCTGCGGCCACTTCCGGAAGCCCCACAGCCACTTCTGGGAGTGCTGTGGCCACTCACGGGTTGGTAAATTTTGCTGCACAGGGACGTGCCCCCCGGTCTGCGATATTGGCCAGGGGAGGGGAAGCTCCTGGTTGCTGACTGGTTCTGGGGTGGGAGGGGGTACATGCCCCCTCCACTGAGGCAGCACCAGTTGCCCATGAATAGGAGTGTTATTAAAAGAAGCAGCAAACATATGGCAGAATTGCAGAAGAAAGGTTAACTTGACAAGTTAAACATCAAGACCATTAAGACAGAGGCTTGATAACACCTGTAGAATGAAGAGCTCAGAAGGAATAAGATAAATTTTAGTGAGCCATGAATTCAATTGATGCTCTTACCTCTCACTGCTGCCTGAACAGAAATGCTGTTGCCACTGCCAGGCAGTTGGTTTTAAACTTTGGGTGGAGCAGGACTCAAAGTGGAGTACAAGTGCATTAGTGCACCCCCCCCACATCTGCCCTGACTACATATAAAAATGTTTTTTCCTCAAACTAAAAACTGCTGATTGATTATGATACACAAAAATAAAATAACATATAAACATGAGATTGCTACCAGAAAAGCATACCCCTCAGCTCTAGAGAATTCTTAGTATTTTCTCTGAACTTGCAATTTTTTTGGTTCCTTAGTCTTTATTTACAGGAAAAATTAGTTAAATGCATGTAGTTAACTGTAAATACTACTGCTTTCTCAGTTAGTGGACTCTTATTCACAATCCCTATTGCCTTAAAGTTGTTTTATGTTGCACTGACCATCTAGTTTCAAATGCCCATTGCCAAAACTTGATTGACACTTCATGTAGTTGTAGCACATTTTCTCTGAAATGTTGGAACAAAATGGGAACAGATGGAGACCAGCCCACAAATGTAAAGGGAGGGGGGGGGAACGTGGGGATGAAGAAGAGTAGGAGTTGCCTGTGCTGTGTTTATTTGTGACAAACTACTTATTGTTATTGACATCCCATTGACACAAGGATGACAGTCATCCAGTAGAAAGGGAAGTCATCAGTGAACCCAGAAGAGGCTAATCTGAGATCTGTATGTTTGACTGAAGGCATGGCAAACCATTCCAGGGGGAAGTAATGGTTCCTGGTAATGTTGGGTCACGGCTCTTTTGGTTTGTCTCTCTTGTTTATCTACCTCTGTAGTGAGGCAAGTTTGCTCAGAATGGTTGACACCTTATTGTATTTCATGGTGTCACTGGGGATGATTCAGAGCTTGAATCTCCCAGGTACTGAAGTTAATATCACATTTCTTCAGATTGGACCTAAAGGTGTCCTTGAATCTCTTCTTTGCCCACTTCTAGAGCAGTGACCATTAGTGAGTTGGGGAGTATAGGCCCTGTTTCAGGAGCTCTTTGTCAGGCAACCTTACAATGTGTCCTGTCCAGTGGAGCTGGTGCTGTATAGACATGGCTTCAATGCTTTAGTGAGAATATTGGTGTTTGTTCTTTTGTCCCTCCAAATGATATCAAGACATTTCTGAAGGTATTGCTGATGGTAATGTTCCAGAGCTTTCAGGTGTTTCTGATATGTTGCCCAAGTTTCACACCCATACAACAGGATAGGGATGACAACAGCCTGGTAGACAAGAAATTTGGTTTGTGCCCTAATGTCATGATTGTCAAAGACATGATTTTAGAGCTATCCAAAGGCAGCACTGGCATATTTTATTTAATGTTTAATATAGTCATCTATGTTTACTTTTTGGGAAAGGTGACTATCTAGGTAGAGGAAATACTTAATATTCTCCAAGAAGTGTCCCCTAATTGTAATATGTGGGGGAACAGCTGGTTGGTTTGGGGTAAGTGGGCAAAGTATTTTGCTTTTCATGAAGTTTACAGTGAGTCTCCAAGCATTTCATATGCTTCACAGAAGCAGTTGAGAGTGGTTTGAAGCTCTACAATTGAGTGGTTGCACAAGACAAAATCATCAGAGTACTGAAGGTCAATAATGGAGGCATTAGTTATCTTGAATTTGGCACATAACCAGTTGATGTTAAAGAGTTTCCTACCTATGTGATATTGGATGCTGACTCCAGATGAAAGTCTATCAGCAATGCAATGCAGAGTAGCCACAATATAGTTTGGAAAAAAGTGTTGGTGAAGTTATGCAGAACTGGACTCCAGTTCTAATGGTGAAGCATCTGTTTCTGAGCTGCAGTTTAAGATCGTTCCCGTCATGTCATCATGAAGAATTCTAATAATGGTAACAAATTCGGGCAGGCATCCAAATCTCATCAGAACAGAATCTTCCATAGGGCCCCTCCATTGGTTGAATGAAAGTTGGGGCAAGGAAGACCATATAAAGATCTCTCTTCTTCTGTGGCTGTCTAGCAACAAAGAACATATCTATTGTACCTTGGAGTGTTCTGAAACCACACTGGAACCCAGATAGAACCTCCTCAGCTAGGAGAGTGATCTATTGAGGAGAATGTGGGCAAGCATATTCACAACTATGGGCAGGAGTGCAATGCCACAGTAATTGATACAATCCAATCTATCTCCTTTCTTGAATATGGTTATGATCCTGGAATTTTCAGGTCATGGAGAATCTGTTCATGATCCCAGATTTTTTTCAGAATAAAGTTATGTAGTTGTTGACAGAGCTTTCTTCACCATGCTTATACATTTCAGCTGGTATTCTGTCAGGAACAAATGCTTTGTTGTTCATCTGCTCATTGGCTTTCAAGGCCCCTTGATAGGTTAGTGGGTCTGTGTGACAGGGTGCCATCTTCAGCTGCCTTTTTTTTTATCTGCCGGTAAGTGTGCCCCTGTCAAGTCTTGATGGATTTTCCTTCTCTGTGGATCAGCTTCCCACCACCCTTTATTCATCTGCCATGAATTGATGTTACTTGGTTCTAAAGAAAGAGAGAGGCTGACCAACAGGTTCCCAGACAGACTTCAGGCTCACCACCCCTAGGATAATGAGGTGTTGACTTAAGGGCAAAAATGCACACTCCTACCTCCCCTTGACATACCCCATGCCTCACAGACGTTTTATAAATTTCTATTTATGTTGGGGTCTCAGCCACTGTGGGCTTACCCCCTCTCTCTCTAGCTAAGCCTGTCAGTCAAAATCTACCAATCAGGGCTTGACTCTGAGGCTCTAGCTCTCTAACTTGCTCAGGCACAAGGCCCTCTGTTCCATACTCTCTGCAACACCAGGCCTACTGGCCCTTCTACACTGCACCCCTGTGGTGCAAGGCTGTTGGGGTTTCAGCCCCCTCCAGCTTTGCCCTTCTTTCTGTAGTTAGGACCTTTCACTTAAGTCCACCCACTAGGACCTGGCTTCAAGGCTTCTGTCTCTCCTTCAAGCGACTTTGGGCTTGTGGCCCTAGTGCTGCACCCCTAGGGCAGCAGGGCTTCTTGAGACCTCTGTTACAGCACCCCTGGGAGCTAATGAGGTCTCCTTCTCCCCTACAACCTCAGCTACAAACCACCGGCTTTTTAACATCAAACAGAAACCATAGGCTCCTATGGCCTTACAATGAAAATAATAAAAAAAATAAAAGAGGCAAAGTGCCCGCTTACTTTATGTGATTGTGCTTCTATCTCACAGTGTGGTGTATTCTTCCTAAAGAGGCTGCTGCAGCTGCTCCATAGTCATTGAGAGTCTCCCTCTTTGCCGTCTCCCTGGCCTTCTTCACTTGAAGTTTATATGGTTCTGGCCTTCCCCTTCCTGTCACCTGACCAGGTGGCACGGCTTGATCTTTAACCCCTACTCAACCGGCTGGCCATGCCCAGAAGGTTCTGGATTTAAACGTGCCTCCCTGTTTCTTGATAACAGGGCTAGGGTTCCCTGTTATACCACCCCCCATCTCTTTTGTCTGGGGTCCTTCCTTTTCCCCCAAACCCTCTTCCTCTTTGTATTGTCTCAAGAAGAAATTGTCACCTACCTTCTGAATTCCTGGGCAATGCTTCACCTCAAAACAACACAGTTGCAGACTAAGGACCCATCTCATCAGCCTAGCATTATCCATCTTCATGCTCTGCAGCCAGCATAGAGGTGCGTGATCTGTGATCAGTGTGAACTTTCACCCTAAAGAT